GCATTGTTAGCTCCTACGGCAGAGTTCACAGAATCAAGGCGTTAGTTACTGGGGGCTGTGTTTTCTTTTCTACTTTCAGCTTCATTATCAGTTATTCTTCGCATTGGACCTTGGCTGACAAACTTCCTGTATATTATCCATTCTTTGCCGTGTTAAGGGCATTTTTACTGCCAGTGACTAACTTTTTATTGGTTTATCGGAAACCTCGTTAGCATTTCTTGAATACATCGAGTTCAAGGTTTTTGACATACGGCGCCAACATGTTTCCGTCCCTAGAGAAGATAGATCTTGTCAACCTATGTTATGGCTCACAAAGCCATGCAAGGATTATATTCAGCCGCAGCACTGAATCAAAATTGAATCTCTAAATAGTTCTAATTACCATGTATTACATAGTCCCGGGTTTGCTCTGTCACGAGAAATGAAAAACTGTGGCATGTAGTTATGGACGTGGTTTAAACCCCCACCCTGATAATCAATGGCTATTAGTGCATCTCTTTCACCTTTCCTCGGTTCTTGGAAGCATCGTATTCAATCCACCTCACGGAAAACAAATCACCTTCTGGAATAAGCTTCCCGGGATTCATTACATGACATCCTTCATAAGTCATACAGAACGGCGCCGCTTCAGGATCGGCTAGAACAAAGCTTGATGGTAATGGATACAGCTGCAAGGAAGAGGCATAGTCCCATAAGACGGGTCGCAACGAAAGTGGGAAAGGCGACATGGTACCCTGATCCAAGATAGTCTTGACAAGCTTTCGTGACACATTGACTGCAGAAGGAACCGGATAGGATTCAGCTCCTATTCGTGGCGTTTGGGTCTCGACGGAGCCTTCAGGTGCTACGGAGCTCCTTTGGTTTTCTATCTCTTCATCCATTACTGTAGACCTATCAGCATCTTGTCCAATGCTCACTGCGCTGCGTCTCAGCCGCCCTGAAATGTCATCGCGGACTATAGCGATGTCATGGAGCGGTCCGAATAAGGTGATGCGTGAGGGATTCGTAGTCCAAATAGCTTCACCAATAGGCTCGGATGACTGAGATCGGTCCGACTCAGCATTCGCCATAGCGAATGCACGTTTCACCCGTGAAGTGAACAGTTCAGGAACAGCCTGACGAGGGATAGCAGAAGCAGCACCAGCTGAAAAGGCGGATGGCCAGGGGTCGTTGTCACCTGGCACAAAAGTAAACGTAGAATGCTGTAGCAGAGAAGGGAATTCAGATAGCACCATAGCGAGCGAGTCAAAGTATTCTTTGTACTCAATACCACCTGCCTGACCGCTACCGTTGACCATAGCCTTCTGGACAAAATTCCCGATTAGAACGAAAACAATTGGCCGTTCTCTCAGCGGCAAGTCACTGTAGAAGCCGAAGAGCCGCTTCAGTGCGTCCACCGTCTTCACATGATCAAGGTTAACCTCGCTCATAATTACCATTTTGGAGCAACGGGAGTCATCTGCACCTCCGTGCAAGTCCTGTAAGCATCTCGCTTGAATATGTCTCATACGAGATCCCCGCGCGCGTTCGCTTCCAACTCCTAGAAAGTCTACCCAGCCAAAACCCCCACTAGTGCTCACTTCCCCTGTGGCCTGTCGACTTTTGGTTCCCAGTGACATTTCCCGTCTTTCGCAGGGAGGTCCACAAATAGAGACTCCGACGAATATACCCCCAATAGCACCCCCAACCCCGGTGTTCCCACCCAAGGTCGACCCCTTCACGGTTTCTTCCTCTTCGTAGATCCCATCGACGAGCACAATCATACCAGGCGCAAACCAGGCACCATTCTCTGGTATAATCCGTGCATGACTCAGTTCCAAAGCGATACTCCCAGTCAAGTCGGTAAGGGACAGATCACCCGTTGGGGAAACAGAAAGCATGCCGAGTAACAAATGCGAAGTACCACTCCTGCCTAGCAGGTTTGCGACTGGAGTAAGCTTGTAGCATTTATTAGGAGCAAAAGACGATGATGATCGCGACAATGAGGGTACGCTGGAAGAACCTAATGACAGTTGAAACGATTCATTTCGTAGTAGGCGCTGGTGAATCACATTATAACGATCCCGGAACAAGGCAGTCTTATGAGAGGGCTGTGGAAAGAGAGAAGCCTTCGACTTTGCAACCTCGAAATACTTCTTGTCGGCGTTGTATGTCAGACGCGGAATATCAAATGCATCCACTACCTTGATCCAATTTCTTGGGTGAAAGGAAAGGTTCGAGTCTCCCTGTTCTCCATCTCCTAGAGTCGACGCTGCAGAGGGGGACAAACGTAGATTGGGGTGCGTACTCCCCATATTTCGAGAGGTACTCATGGACACGCCATCTGTTGTCGGGGTCTTTCCAACAACAAATCTACCCCCGCTCATATTCCCTTCAACAGTTTGCAAAATCGTTTGTAGCGAGGCACCTTTGCCTTCTTCGACAATAACACCTCCTCCAGCCTTTTTCCAGCTTTTAGCCACTTCATCCAACACTCGCTCTGCAAGGCCTTCTTCGCGCCATCCTGACCCACAATTTTTGCCCACAAAGGTAGCTAAAGTCTGTAGTGCAGATGATGAAATCGTCAAGTTATGTTTCCGGGTGAATGTACGGAAAGCGACGGGCCGAAGGGTGGAGGGGGGAAGTAAAATAGGCAGGATAGACGTCCTCGTAGGAAGATTATTGGATTTGTTTTTTCGCAAAGGGTGCGCGGGGGTCGCAAATGCAGGAGATGATGAAGGGACCGGGTCTGAGTCCATCATTACATACGCATTCACATGTACCTCAATAGTCGTGGATATCGGTTTTTATGCCGTGGGCATCCCTTCAATCAATTTTTGACTAGGCAACAGGCTCCATAAGAGTTGACTCAACGTGCGTTATCTAATGATCTCGCTGTGATCTCAGTATCGGCTGCCAGTGATACTAAGCAAACCCCAAAAGCGATGGAAATCTACTCTGTAGACTGCGTGGGCGGACGCGTGATAAATTAAATAGAGTGGCGCGGCCACTGACGCGACCCACGCCAGTTTGGAAATAAGTCCGTCATTGAATGCCAATAGATAGAGAACAACTATTTCCTTCTTTTATTCTTTCGCGCTTGCACCACCTGCTTCCCATTGTTCTTTTCTATAGTGTATCTTAATTTTTGTTTCCCAGGGGACTACTCAGTTCGATCCTTTTACTATCTTTAACACCCCAAACTATATCACACCGACATTTTTTGGAACGAGATACTTGGGACAATAGACCGCGGCAATGGCGGAGTATGACCATGCGGAAATGAGCGCTGCACCGCTCCAAGATACCAACGAAAGTATGAGGGCGCGCTTAACAGACCTGACTGAGCGAGCTGCCGCCAAGGATGCCGTCAAAGATTTCAACGCTGCTGCTGAGCTTTATTCTGAGGCTACAGAGCTCCAAGCTAGGTTGAATGGGGAGTTGTCGCTTGACAATGCCGATCTACTATATTACTATGGAAAATCTCTTTACAATGTTGCTGTGAGCAAGAGTGATGTCCTTGGTTCCAAAGTAGCTGGAGAAAGTCAGACACAGGTACATGATCCGCTTACTGTGAATGCCTCTTCGTCTGGGACTACAACTGTTAGTGATAGCCTTGTTCAGGATGCCATTTCCAATGGACTAGCTCAGAAGGAGGTGCTTGCTGGAAAGGCGCAGTCTCAGAAGGTCGAGGACAAGCCATATTTTCAATTCACAGGAGATGAGAACTTTGACGCCTCCGATTCCGACGGGGAAGATAAAAGCGATGGTGACGGAGGTGCCGAAGAAGACGAGGATGACTTCGCAAATGCTTTTGAAGTCCTCGACCTCGCGCGCATACTCTACTTCAAGAGATTAAACGCAGCAGAAGAAAAATGTGGGAAAGGCAAAGCCGCAGATCTACCTCATCATATTAAACAAATTAAGGAGCGTCTCGCAGATACGTACGATCTCCAGGCCGAGATCTCGCTAGAAGCTGAACGTTTCACGGATGCAGTGACTGATCTCAGAACGGCACTTGATTTGAGACAGTCTTTGTTTCCAATGGAGGATCCATCGATCGCCGAATGTCACTATAAGCTTTCGCTTGCCCTGGAATTCGCGTCTGTCAATAAGGCAGATGACAATTCCGCTAATAGCAAGAGCGATAGGACGGCCAATGAACAGATGAGAAAAGAAGCGGCGAGCCAAATGGAAAAAGCAATTGAAAGCTGTCAGGTGAGATTGGCTCAGGAGCAGAAGGTATTAGATAATAGTAGTACCATGGAGGAAGACAAAGCAACCGCTATGAAGAGAAAAATAGCCAATGTGAAGGATATCATAGCAGACATGGAGCAAAGAGTAAGTTTCTCTCAACCATCCGAACCTCGAATTCTTATCCTCGAACCACGTACATCTAACTGGCCCACAGCTAGTTGATTTAAAGCGCCCCCCGGTATTACTCGAAGATCATGATGAGAGGAATGAAGCTATGCTGAAAGGTATCCTGGGTCAGATAATGGGGCAGTCTCCTTCGGAGCAGATGGTACAGTTGGACAAAGTTACGAAGGGAGCTAATGATCTCTCGGCGCTTGTCAAACGGAGATCAGGTGGTAACCAACTGGTATCTACACAGAAGCGCTCAGCTCAGGAAAGTGACCAGGAAGGAGATGTGAAAAGAACACGAGTCGGCAAAACAAACGGTTCCCCTTAGCCTTCATATTGATCATTGCCTTGCTAACCGTCTCTTATTCGCTTCTGTCGGCGTCAAGAAATAACGAATTGGCTCTATACCACAAAATGTTACAACGACTACGGGACTACTTGGAACCAAAGAAGAGATTACCCACCCCAACAACTTTTCAAACTTATGGAAACCTTGGGAATGCACTTGGAATCGTCGTAGCTTAAACATTACCATTAAGAAGCCTTTTGCAGGGTTACCCCGCAGATATTGGTCAGAAAAGGAAACATGAGAGCAGGGTATCAGGATGCCACGATTGCTGAAACAGAAAAAGAGAGAGATAATGTATAATAGTCCTTCAGGGTGTAAGGCCAAAAATCGAGGTATGACGATCTAATTTGCGGCTTCGCCGCCGTATAGCCAGACCAGGGCTCCAAACACCGGCAAACAGATCTTCGCATTCGTCTTCGTCCTGGCTATCGAACTCCACACAATCACCCGGTGTACCGACATCCACCTTTGCAGAAGTCATTGGTCCAGATGGTGCAACAGGCCCGGCATATGAATCCGACTCCCATGAGGAGGATGTCACGGTCCGTTTGGTTTCCAAAATGAACTTGCCAACCTTGTAACGTTGCGAGTCTTCTTCAGCGGCAACATATTTCCATCCAAGAATATTCCCACAGAAAGCACAACTGATATCACTGACTGTATGGGCACCTGTGACCAGTTGACGTGATACGGGTTTCTGCATTATGGTATTTGGGAGTGACTCTGTCGGCGAGGACGTTGTACTGATGGATACCGCACACACGATAGGTTCCGCCGACACGAGATACGCGCGGCCATGTCGACCAGTGAACCCTTTGCTGATGATCTGGGACGTCAAACATAAATCCGTTGCGCAACGAGAACACCGAATATATGATACCTGGCTACCTAGGTATTTCTGGCAGCTCTCATCCATGGACGAGGTTCTGGCAGGGGGTCCAGCTGAGGACGAGTACCCCGCTTTGCGTTGTCGAGAACGGAACACAGTTGGGGGAAGAAGGAACTTGGGGAACATAAAGAGTAGTCTAATGCTGGGGTTCAATATTATAGCTTTATTTTACAGAATAGTGGTGTAGCTGAGATCTGCTAAACCATATAGACTCGCTGCGTTTCGAGAAAGACGTCAGTGTTAGTAGTAGTGTCATACTGAGGTCATACCATACCGCCCAAGGAAGCATCGGGCTTCCGACTCCGAGGTCCGCTTACTACCTTAGTACAGTCAGTACACTCTCATTGAGATCGCCAATAGCAATTGAATCCATTATATTGTGCCCCACTGCAAGTATCTAGTAGTGAAAGTAACCAGCACATCAATCAACATTAAACCATCAAGGAGCGGAAGCACCAATCTGACAACATACAATGTACTATTTCAACTTGCTGCAAAGTAACCGTCGCACTGCTAAACTTCAGCACCCAAAAAAGCCATTCAGCACTAAGTGACAATTCGACACAATCTCGAGTGCTCCACGGTTGCAGTGTTGTCAAGTTAAATCCGCACCAACCCAAATTCCTCACAACTTCGAGCTCTGCTGCATCTTGCGAACGCGGAATGCATGCAACAATCTGAGAGCACCCAAATTCAGGGAGACTTGCTAGCTCAAAAAGAGCAATTAATCTGTCAAATGAGCCGTGAGTTTCCGTTCTATTTCAGTGTAATCTACCCGTAACCCCGAAATATAAACATACCCAGTCTTGAGACCTTGGCCAAGTGCACGTTCACGGAAGAATATGAATAGGGTGCGCTCGTCATTCGAACTGGTCATGAATCCTCGGTAGATACAATCACTTGTATAGTCCAACACCTCAATCCACTCTTGAATTCGGCTATGCTCGTAACCTGAGCTACTCGGTTGAATTTGATACGCACCTGCCCCAAGCGACTCTTGTCCAGAGATAATCCGCTCACCAAGGAAAATCACAGACAATGTGTCGCAGAAGAGCCTCTCACACTCTTCCGGGATAGTATGCGCCGCCCCCCCTTTGTATTCGGGTATAATGTTACCTGAAAAACTGCTCTCCATTCCTGCATGGGTAGAGAGATCAGGCGGGGGGCTTGGAGACAAGGTTTTCGACCCTGAGGGGACCTCAGGGATACCACTGGGCTCCTGTGAAAGGTAGCACTATGGCATCAGTACAAATTAACAATATACAAGCCATGTATGCGCTTACCAGCCCCAGTCGTAGTGTAGTAATGGAAACCATTAACTCTCGATGTTGACGTGTTGACACTGTAGCAGCTCGCAAGTGCAGAAGTCTGGAGAGCTTTGTCGGGAAATCGCTGTAACTGATTGAAGGTATTACTGTTGCTATTCGAGAACTTAGCCATGGCTGTAGTAGTCGCCCTAGAGAAAGGGTTATTATATATAATTCGTCTATAAAGTGGCTGAGATGTCTGCTTGGGTTAGACTGGCAGCCAGATTTGACGGAGACCAACTAGAAAGGGGCCTATTGGAAACGTAAAGCAGTTCTGGTCCAAATATAACTAAGATGCAATAGGTTACTGGATGTGTTATTTGTAGTCCGTTGGCCGATGCTGGAGATAATGGAAGGGGTTCTTTGGGTTGTTAATTTGTTACACAGGTGACAGTCATCTGACTTGGTTGTTCGTTAAGTGTCACGTGTCAATGACTAATGGATGATAGTTAGTTAGCTAAGTTATCATTCCATGGTTACTTATCATGTTTAGCTTCAATCCAGAGTTGACCTGCCAACCACCACAACTTCGACAACACACCGCTCCAATCCATTCTAATTCAAGTGTTACGTAACCAAGGCAAAGCCTGTGGCGAGTGTATACAGCACATGTGTAGGATATACAAACAAGAAAGATACACGATGTGAAAAGAGAAGAGTAACTCCTATGCACAATAGAAGATGTCCCATAACTCCCAAGTTGACATGGACCCAAAGGAAAAAACATGAACAGAGTGCGAATCTCTGTAAAGCATTTAAAGCTCTCGATAATCACTCGGCCTTATCCTCCTATATCTTGCTTGATGTCGTTGTGGATTAACTGGCTGGCGGAAGTACGCTGTATCCTCTTCGCGGGCATACGGAGTGCTGAATGTAGTCCGCTGCTGGTTTGAGAAATGACCCATACTTGGTCCCTGGGGAAAACCTAAACTCTGTTGCATACCCCCAGCCATATGAGCTATGGGAAACATGTTCATTTGAGAGTCACCCATCCCATTGAACATATTCGTAGCGCCGTACCCAGAGTTGACTGCACCGTTTGTGCTATCACCATATAAACCATTTGACAGCGCATTGAAATTCATACCGCCCATAGGATTCCAAGTTTGGCTGATATTGGCAGTGAAAGCATTGGATGAAGCTAGGCCAGCCGAATTCATAAACCCCGACCCTTCTCCAGCGAATCCAGCATCAGGGAATGCCATTGAAGGAATGCCCTGGGCCTGCATGAAATTGAATCCACCAAAATGCATTTGTTGGCCGAAAGGGAGAGGCTGAAACCCAGATGAAGCATCATTAACTTGTGATGGCGAAGTCTCGATCGACTTAGGGTTATCTTCAGCCTTCTGCTTCTTCTGCGTGGAAGTTTGGTTTGACCCTTCGGTGGCTTCGCCAAGAGGACCATCCTCTGCAGGCCTTTTCTTGGAATATTTCGACAAACCTGCCCGGGGTGAAGCCGGTGACGATAGTTCTGCTTTTCTACTTGGATCGCCCGTTGAGGCATATGGTTTGTTGGTTGACTGATTCTCTTGAGCTGCCGAATGCTTCTCTTTTTCTTTTTTGGAATCCACCTTCTCAGTTTCGTAAGCCTTAATCTTGATGACAGCGTCGTCGTCTGCAGACAAATTATCCAGCAGGACACCTTCTGTTCCACACCCTGGGCAGACGAAATCACTCTCAATTAATGCATTTGTAATACAGTCATTGCAGTAAGTTCTTTGGCAGCATGGCGTTTTTGTGGGTTCTAAAAACATCCGTTTGTCAATTGGGCACTCCAGCCCACGTGCTTGCAGCTCCTTGCTGTATTCTGCAGCTGCAGCTTCGGCGGCGGCGGCGGCCGAAGCCTTAGCTTTTTCTTGATACAGTTCCCAAGCCGCCTTGTCTGGTTTAGCAATGACAAAATCACCATCAGCATTAACCATAACGCCTGTATTCTTCAAATCTTCATTAGAACCATCTATTGTGAGCGATTCCGGTTTTTCGACTTTGGTTTGCAAAGAACGAGGTATACCAGTTGAACGTTTCACTCGGTACTTGCCATCGAACTTGGGGTCATTGTTGGTTGGGCATGCTTGGATCCAATGACCTAATCATGAGCTTTAGCCAATTTGCAACCATCAAATTCGACACCAACTAAGAAATGCATGCCAAAACCAACCTTTTTCACGGCAACGATAGCAAAGATACCCAGGAGGTGGAGGGTGGTCGGGGACATTTATTGGTTTTCCTCTCCCGCGACCAAGCGGAACAGGTGTAGCACTATGAAAAGTTATCAGATGGAAGGAATCATGAGGTTGAACGAAGTATGCTCACTTAGCCATCTCTTGCTGTTGCTCTTTCCATTGATTAGCCTGCAAGTTAAAAAGCGCATTTATCTTCTCTTCTTCGGTCTGAGCATTGTTAAGTTCTAGGACACCGTTGCTAACTGTATTGGTAGGGTTGGGCATTGTTCGGCTCGATGAAACTTGATCATTACGAGAAGCGTTGCGCGCATTTATAGGCATTTTTCCGGATACGTAACGAGTAGCACCGCCTTTTCCAGGTCGCGATGCGGGTAGCCTCCGAGCTATAACAGACGTCGAACGAGGTATGATTGTGGTATCGTCATCGTACTCTAGGTCACAAATATCTGTTAGCTGCTCATTCTCCTACTCTTTTTTTTCTCTCTCTGCTTCGTGCTTCTATTGTTCGATCTTCTTCTTCGTCTTCCTTTTCCTCCTCCTCCTCTTCTCCTTCTCCTTCTTCCTCTTCCTCTTCTCCTCCCCCTCCTCCTCCTCAGCCGCCCCCTCCTCCGTCATGACCTTCCATTTCCCCCGTTTCCTATTCCTAGCATTTTCCTTCTCCAGATTGCCAACGCGCAAAGAAAAGGTGTGATGGGACTCAAGAATAATCGGTTCGTTCAACTTACCTTCTCTGGTGTCTTCATTGTAGATGGACAGCTCGAAATCAGTTCCGTCACCCAGTCTACTCTGATTGATAATTTCGCGTTTCAATTCAAAGACAGAGATACCGGTGCCATCAAAAGTCACCCTTGAAGGTTCTTTTTGAGATTTGAACTTGAAGTGAACAGAGGATGACATTGTATTCAATTGCACGTCCAACGAGAGTGTTTGCGAATGTAATTAAATCAAGATTAAAGGGGTATCGCTCTTGCGAGAAAGGATACAACAGGAAAATAAAATAGGCAAGACAACACTTGGGAAACGTGTGGCAAATAGCCAACGACAGATTTTGATTCGAGAATCCTCTTTGTTATAAGACCCTGAAAATCGCAAGACCAATATCTATTGATGATATTGCTCGAACTCATGAACTTAAAGACCTTTGCTGAATGCTGGATGGTAAGTGTTCAAACTGCATACAAACAAGACAAAGTCCGAACGAATACAAAGCGTAACAGTTTGCAGTACTGTGGTAAACAAAGGTGAGCCACAGGGATGCTTCTTATGTCCTATTGTTTTTCTTTTCTTTTTTCATAGGAGGTTTCACCGTTCAATAGATGAATTAGAACTTCCCAGTCTCCTCTAGCTTGCAATGAAGCCTAGAGTTGTAGCACAAAACAGGGGCTTGGATGTCTTATCGAAATGCAAAATCCATGCACAAGGGTGAGCAGTTGATACTTGAACAATACCAGAAGTAGATGAAGCTTGGGGCAAGCTGAGCAGCGAAAGACTTTGGGCAACAGGCAGTGTTGTCGCACGACAAGATACCTGACTAATCCAGAAATTACGACTCAGTAGTACTGGATCGAGTATAACGTATATTTGAAGGGTTAAATTGGAAGAAGGGGTGGATAGGAGGAGATAGAGGGAAAAGATGCCCCAAGAACCAGCAGGAGGTAACTGTGTTGTTCAAAGAAGATGTAGGAGAAACGAAAGACGTGCTAGGTATGAGTTTGATGGGTGGGATCAAAGCGCAACTCGGAAGTGGTGGCAACCAAAGTATTATCAAATCACGTGATCTAGCGACCAACTAGCCTGACCGCCTTATACTCCGTATTATTAGTCTACTACTGTACAGAGTAACTTAGGCCCTAAATTGAGTGAAGACAGTCTTGTGGAATTTAAAATAGCTAGTTTACACCCTTTCATTCAAATGTCTCTAGTATCTACATACCTCAAAAAGGGTTAAATATCAGTCTCAGGTTTGCGAACCAAAAACCCTTGGCCACTTAAATAGTCTTTGACCTCGCTGACAGTGTATTCACCACGGTGGAACTGTTGGCTTTGTTAGCTACTGCTAAAGACATGACCAATACATAAAAACAACATACCATGCCAGCGCCCAGTGCCGCATCTGTAGTAGTACGCTCGAAAACTTCCGCAAAGTGCCCAGGATTTCCGGCCCCACTGGAGGCAATCACTGGTATTTTGATGGCCGTTTTGACATCGTTAATAAGTTCTAGATCAAAACCGCTGTTGCTTCCATCTTTGTCAATGCAATTCAAAAGTAGTTCCCCAGCACCCATGGCCTCAACAGCTTTTGCCAACTGCCGAACATCCAAGTCCCGGGCCTCTCTGCCACCTTTGATAGTGCATTGGTACCAACAAAAGTTTTGCCCTGAGGCATTCGGATATTGTGTCCTGATGGTATGATGCTTGGTGTCTTCAGGACCGTTGACGTATACGCGTTTAGGATCGACGCTCACAACCACAGCTTGGTTTCCATATGCACTTGATATTGTCTCTATTGCAGTTTTCCCAGACAGGTTTTCGCCGGCTTCGTAATATTGCTCAGCTGCAATAACAGCATCCGAGCCAATACTAACTTTATCCGCTCCAGATTTGAAATACATGGTGGCGACGTCAAGGGCCGAGATGCAGGTGCCATCTGGATCAACGGTGTCCTTGATACCACCCCCAATCGTGAGAGGTACGAAAACGGTTTCGGATGTCCTTCGCAATATTTCCAGCATAGGCGTGTCTGCCACTGGGCAGTTTCTGAATGATGTTATGTTCAGGAAGGTCACTTCGTCTGCCCCTTGCTCGTAATACTTTTTAGCCATGTCGACTGGCTTTCCCAAGTTCCTTACCTGGCCTCCAGAATTCACGCCATCCTTCTCGCGTACATCATATTGATCGCCTTTCGTGACGACGAGGTCGCCAGAATCGTTCGTGCGGACATCGAGACAAGCAATAACTCTGCGAGTGAGACCATATGTCTTCTCGCCCGAGACTGAGGTGTCTGGCGCAGGTGATTGCATCTGGTCACCCTTCAAGAAAGCACGGATAGTCCGCAAGCCAGCTTGCCCGCTCTTCTCTGGATGGAACTGCGTGGCGAAAATATTTCCCTTTGCTATCGCACCTATAAATTCCTCCTCGCCATATGTGGCTGTAGCGACCGACCAACCATCTTTCTCCAGCACACCGGGTGTGTAAAATGCTGCATAAGAGTGAACATAGTAGTATTTGCTGTCTGGGTTCAATCCACAGAAACTTTGAGCTCCTAAAGGACCATCCCCGGTGTTCATGGCAGAATTCCAACCTATGTGAGGTACACTCTTTGCACTGTCATCGAACTTTTGCATTCGCTTTTGTATCACCCCCAACCCAGGGACATCCGGGTCTTCCTCGGATCCTTCAAATAGTGCCTGTAGACCTACACAGATCCCCATAAAAGGTTTCCCGGAATCTATGTGCTTCTTTATCGGATCTAGATATCCGCCTTCTGAAAGCTGGGAGAGGCAATGGCCGAAATGGCCAACTCCGGGCAATATAAGTTTCTGCGCTATGATTAGCACACCGCAGGTAGAAAGTTGACTGACGAAGGATATATACTCACATCTGCATTCTTCAGATCTTCGGGGTTTTTAATCCATTCAACATCATACCCAACTTTGTTAATTGCATTCACCAACGAACGGACATTCCCAGCAACATAGTCGAGCAGATGTACGGTGGGCATGGCGGCGGGGTTGAGTCAGTTCCACTATTCGAGGGGCTCGCTATGTGAAGGATAAAGATCCAATTGTGAGACGCGACAGGAAATCCACGCTCCTTTTTCACCCTATAGCCTTTCCAGTATCTTTTTAAAGCGAGAAAAAGATCCTACTGGGAGGGGGTTCAATCCCAGCTTCGAAAGGATGGAATCCTGTCTTCAATACCCCACCAAGAGCTAGCTGACTCATAATCTAATTTAGTTTTATTTTTCTCCCGGGGTCGCAGCTCGGCGTGATTAAGAGGTTTCTTGGCATTTCGTCTAACCACTATCTCAACCTCACCGTGGTTTGGCAGCCCAGTGGCCTTACTATATATTATTGCCCCTAACTCTACACCACTACCCCTAGTATTTATAAGAAAAAGCGCCCTCGAACCCGATGTCCCCAAAGGGGATTAAGGATCGAATGAAATGAGGGGGGTACCCGAAGTAGTAACGGGTAAAAGGCGTGGAAGTAAAGGTCCTTCATTAACTGGTAATAATATATGTATGACCCTAATCATACTAGTTAGAGAATCTTAGTTCTAGCTATACCGATAGTAATTCCGTTCCGATTTCCGGACCACGCCGAGCTGTAAGGTTCCCGGTAGTTGGAGTGCAAGTGTCGGAAACCTTGAGATTGCAGGGTGGCGAGGAAACGTAAGGTCGGTGTGACCAGGAGAACAGAATGGATCTACACAGTACTGTTGGTATGGCTTAAACTGGGTAAAATCCTTTAACTATGACTAAAATCAGACTATTTTCTTTTAACTATGATAAGCCCCGTTGTTTTGGCTGTCTAGCACATAAAGTCGTCTTGACTTTTTGCTATAATCTATAGCCTTTTTCTTAATCTTCACGCTCCTTTAAATCTAGTATAAATAGTAACTATTGTTATAGTAGACACTGAAGCTACTTATTATCTATTCCACCTAGTAAATAGTACAGCTTTTCTATAGATAAACACTTAAGTGTAAATTATTTAGGTAACTATATACTGAGTATATTAGTTAGCGTCGATCGATTTCACTTTAGGGCATGGTACTGATTATGTTTAGAAAAGTACTGACTATAACTATGTTTATTTTATGCGAAAATGCACCACCGGGCCGTGGCGAGGTGGAGGCCTTGGTGGGCGCAGAAATTGCAAAGCAATTTCTGACCACGCCGACCTAATTTCATACCACAGTCCCCGAGATTGCATGTGGTGTACTATATAATATTGTACACCTATTGTAGGTCCCGAGGTCCAGAAGTTAAACCGTTGACTTCCTTAATGGGTACCAAGGCTGTTATTTGCGCTTACCGTTTAAGACCTGAGTACATATATAACATTTTGCTTATTGGGTACTAGTAGCCTGGTTGCACTGAATCTAGGCGTATAATCCCTCCAAGATAGGCAGACACTAGATAGTTAATATCTACCTCAGCCACAAATCCCATATCAAGTGGGATTTTATCTGACCGGTACAGTTGTAGAAAATTTGTCATTTAAGAACTCATTCGAACATGGGCATCACAGCAATATCACCTTCTCCTTGCCATCATACCTTGCCAAAAAAAATAATACAGGAACCTGCTGTAGTAACCGGCGGCACTATGAGTTAGGCTATCTATACATACATTAGTATTATAGTCAAAATATGTATTGACTAGTAAGATTTCGGTTATACCTGGAATTCTTCAAGATTCGATAATGGTAGCCTTTTTGATTAAATATATCACTACAATAAAAGGTTGAAACACAATTTTAGCAGAGCAGATAAGCATTTATTCCCAACATTATCTGCTGGATACCACAAGATATTCTTCCGGCCATGCGACGTCGTGCTGCCGGAGAATATCAATGTTAACCCCTGGACTGTGCGTTGCCTCTGGCTCAGTGAGTATCTGTATACAGCAGTAGCAGTGCTAATAACGTGTATCAGCATTTGTATTACTTATTCGCAGGAATTGACCCGTTCGATTTTACAATCACCATTACTAATATCAATGACAAGAAGCACTGGTCCAAGTTCACCGCATTAAAGAAGAAGAAGCCTTCACTAAAGACGTATATCTCGGTAGGAGGCTGGGACGTTGGAGGCAGAGTCTTCTCTGATATGGTGCGGTTTCCTGGTACACGAAAGGCATTCATTGACTCGGCTATCTCCATGATGACTGCAGAGAACAGATAAACCTCCAACATATGTAGCTTTGTCCCCCAAAGGGCCCAGCCAAGGCTACACTAGCCACTATACTAAAACTATTGCTAGCTACGTCGAACAGGAATCGAATACTGTCTAGATATATAGTATTGGTTACAAACCCTGCTAATACTATAAACCACTTGATAGAAACGTCGTTTCACTTAATCCCATGGTAGATATATAGATCATAATTGACAATGTATATGTATATACACACTGTACACATTTGATTGCTTTTGCCATCCCTGAAAACTTGTTCAAAACTCTCCACAGCCCGTTGTGCCTTCAAGAGCTAGACTGTTTTGTACAACAATTATTGCTTATTGTTAGCTGATCCCTCGAGATAGATAAGTCCGTTTCGAGGCTATTCTCCCGTCAGCGATGTATTATGACCCGATAGAGGAGGGACTTACAGGAGAAAACTGTCGAAGGCGAACACCAGCGGACTCTAGAATTGCAGCGCTCTAGGCAATGTTAGCCAAGGCCAGTTGGGTATAAAAGGAGAAGGGCACAGACATCTTGGTCCATATTATATCCCTGTGAGTATACGACTTCAGAAATGCCAACCTGGGCAATTTTTACCGTGCATGTCAAGCAAGGGCACCTTTCCTGTTCTATCAGTAAAGTTCAACCCGCTATACCAATTATATGAACCAAGAGTATCTCACGTGTCACAATAAAGTATTGTGCCTTCTCGTATGCGCTCCCTTCCAGCCTCTAGCAGAGCGTTCTCTTCTGCATGTAGGCAAAGACACGTGGACAAACCGACACCTCCACCTTCACCTCGGTTGCATCTTGGGCCTGTGGAAATGTAAGTGCATATACTAACACATTCAAATATAGGTGGAAAGGGAAAATGTGGGCAAGAAGGGGAAGGAAGAGGGACAAAGAACAAAGAACTAGGAATGAAGGAGATGGGGCGCGGGGGTTAGATCCATACAGCCTGCCTCGTTGCAGTTTCTGAGATGTCGTGGAGTTCCGTTGTATCCAGTACTGATGACACGGCGTTCCCGAACAAGCACACACCCCACCCTTCTCTTCATACAGTTACTCCGCTGCGCGGCAAGAGATGCCAATTGCATGAAGTACTGATCCCAGTTTGGTCGTAAGCGCTCCTCATCAGCTAGGTTAAGTCCCGCGAGAGCAGAATGCAGTTCCTCCAATGAAGACGATGAATTGAACAATCGAACCTGTGCCCGGTCGGTCAAATAGACACGCCCGATATTTTTATCATATAGATGTCGATCATTCCAGAGCACAAACTTCTCGAGAGGCGGGGCCTCAAGCTGCCTCCTCCGACACCTGGGAGAAGTTAGTCTTTCACTCTCGGAATCATATACTTGCAACACGGGATGTAGTTAGGGTCTGACCTCTCTCCAAATCGCTGCCATCGGAGACTGACAGGTGCGTCGACGCTCACTAGGAGGAAAAACGGGCGTTGAAGAAAGCGATCTAGGGTAACACTCTCCCAAATATCTGTTGTTACCCAGAGGCCTTGCCAGCTTTTTGTTGCAAAATCTAGAAGCGATTCTGCACTTTCAAATAATAGCTGCGGTGACTGATTTCTCTCTTTATCCGTGAACTCCGATGCCTGTAGCCGTCGATCATCCTCAGGTTCATCAGCTATTCGAGGAAACTTTCTACTTTTAAGTTCGAGTAGCTGGAACCCTTGATGCTGGATGAGATACTCTGCAATTGCATGCTTACCAGAGCATATACCTTTAAGCACGCCATTAGTCTATGGCGAGACAGCGGGGAACATTTGAGAGTCAGTAAAACATTGGCTAACCTCCACACAAGCCAATTAACATTTCTTCTTATTATCTTCCCTTCTTCCCTCTCCTCTTTTTTCTCGCCTTTATTGAACCCGGAAGTATCAAGGGGGTAAAGGCAATATATGATTAGCACGCGAGGTACAGATGTAACTAGTGTACGGAGTAAGTCGGAAAATCAAGATGGCGGTAGAGGCTAAGATATACGTATCGGACTACGTAAAAGCAACCTGCGGTTGAAGTGGAGCTGGGGCAGAGAACAAGAAATTGGGAAATATTCTAATTTAGTACATCACTAAATTAACTATCTATTTTCTGGTTCCTCCCAAACACCCAAGCAAGTTGAAGCATTGTGTATATTTAAGTAGATACAGAATAGTTAGTTATATCACAGTGTTGCTAATAAAACAATTAGGCTGAAGAATTTGACGAAAATAGCGATCTCACTGATACCCAACGGACAACGCAGTAAGCAAAAGAAAGCACAAAGATCAGAGAGGAATTGAAATAGGGAGGAAGTATCCCGATAGGTAAACGACCTTCTGAATGTGTAGATGTCACATACTTGAATAAATATGTTGACCTTAACACCTAGTAACTGTTGTTACAGGAAACGTTAGTGCTTTCTACTGATAAATGCTTCTTTTCTCTTCTTTTTGGTTGTGTTTCGCTTTTCTTTAGGCCAGTTAGATGAAAACAGTTTCCAGGTTGCCATTGTTTTGTTCCCAGCGTTCTCTACTCCTGGGCTTGGTACATACAGTATATACCCGTGACAGGGACGAGGTCACCTGGATGGTACTCCTACTACGGAGTAGTGTACTTGTGTATTTGCATAAATACCTCTGCAGTGCACGTGTCCTTGTTTGTTAGTCTGTAATCTCTATCCCGCCCCACCATGATACCATCTCTTATCAATAACTACCTTGCTTACTTCCTGTGCTACTTTCACATGTAGTCAAATGAGCACATAGGCACTGCAGAGGTTCTCTCAATATATTCTCTGGTCTTCACGGGGCCTTGTTTTTCTGATACTGTATGGCCACTGTCTTTCGCCCTTTCCGGCCTACTACTTAGAACACAGGAGCAGGACAAACGGCAAGGTCAACTTGCGCAACAAACACTATGCAGTATACGCCTTTTGCTTCAGATATAGAGCTCCCATTTTACACGGCATTAGCATCCTTGAAAATCAATCATGACAAGCTTGATGACTCCGCCCGCAAGATAATGGGGCTCTATGAAATTCGCTCAACAGACCCTCCTAGCAGCTCATGTCGGATGCAAATACACGGAAATGCTCTAACCAGTGATGAGTGAGTGCTTTGTCATTAAACAAGTGTTGCACCTTCACATCTGTTTATGCGCACTGGATGGGACACAGCAAGCACCGGTTAACATGACCCAGGGTACCAGCGGGTTTCTACAGGGCCGAAGGATTGATTAAGAATGTCAACACCATCGAGGAATACCGAGCTGCAGATAAAACACTTTTACTCCACCGATCTGGCAGAATGGTCAGTTTAACCAGGCATGGTGTTTCGCTAGGAAATTGACACTGTCTAATAGATATGGGATGCGATAAAAGATGGCACGATCTATTCGTGTCCTTCACTTTTGTCTTCTTTTGCCATTCTTTCTTATGCAGACCTGAAGAGATACAAGTTTCATTATTGGTTCGCATTCCCTGCAATTCATTTGGATCCTTCCTGGGCCCCGCTAGGGGCAACTAATGATACTGCCCACTCCAAGTCTTCTGAAAGGGAATATGTACCTTCATACTTATCAGGTGCTGAAAGTTCAACACTCGTGGAAGCAGTAAACACCTGGAGCTACGGCATTGACGCACGCCAGCGTGGTTTTTTTCTAGCTCGAAGAACCCTAGCTACTAGCGGCAAAGCCTATCAGGATCCCACTAAAGATATAGGTTCTGAACCGGGAAAGGAGAAAGCAGCAGACGTTGAGGGTGTCTGTTGGCGGATTGCTACCCTTTCAGATTATGAAAATGGATTTTTTGACGGGGCTAACTTTGAAGATTGCTATGTCTGCTTCGTTGATCCTTCTAATTACGAAAATGCGCCTGGTTGGATGCTGAGGAATCTGCTGGTGCTTGTAAAACATCGATGGAAATTGAGTAAAATCCAAGTTTTGAGGTTTCGCGATGTGCATTCGAAGCGTGACCAAGGCCGCAGCATCGTGGTAACATTAGCAGAGAAGAACCAGCAAACGTCAGTACTGAAGGCGCCAGACAATCTTATGCCCAAAGTGACCGGTTGGGAGCGCAATCCAACAGGGAAATTGACAGGGAGATTGGTAGACCTGACGGAATATCTGGATCCGCAGAGGTAAAGTTTCCTAAAACGAGACTAAGCGAAACGAAGTGTAGCTGATTTCGTACAATGGCTAGGTTGGCAGATCAGTCTGTAGATCTCAACCTCAAACTCATGAAATGGCGAATCAGTCCCAACCTAGACCTTGAAAAGATCAAGCATACAAAATGCCTCCTGCTTGGTGCAGGCACTCTTGGAAGCTATGTTGCCCGGAATCTGATGGTATGTATGGTCCGCGTGATGATTTACTATGTGTGCAGGTGACTAATTGCATCTGTACCTAGGGCTGGGGCGTTACCAAGATAACGTTTGTCGACAATGGGTCGGTATCATTCTCCAACCCAGTAAGGCAGCCGCTATTTAACTTTAAAGATTGTTTGGAAGGTGGAGTTAAAAAGGCGCACCGGGCTTCTCAAGCTTTGTCGGAGATTTACCCAGGGGTCGAATCTACCGGATATGCTCTATCAGTGCCAATGGCCGGTCACCCCGTATTAGATGCTGAAAAGACCCGAGAGGAGTTTGAGCTCCTTAAACGATTGATAGATGGGCATGATGTCATCTTTCTTCTAATGGACACACGAGAATCCCGCTGGTTACCAACTGTCATGGGAAAGGCAGCGGGAAAAATTGTGATGAATGCTGCGTTAGGGTTTGACTCCTTCGTCGTTATGCGTCATGGTGTGAAGGTTGCACAAGACCAAGCAGCAGAGCTCGGATGCTACTTTTGCAATGATATTGTTGCACCAGTGAACGTAAGTGATTAAACCGTGAATTTAGTCTTGTAAAAAATCCACTAAAATTTACTAGTCCATGAAAGACCAGACACTGGATCAACAGTGTACTGTGACCAGACCTGGCGTGGCCGCAATTGCTTCGGCTTTATTGGTTGAGCTGCTAATTTCCGTCCTTCAACACCCTCTGGGTGCTGCAGCTCCGGCTCCGGCCTCAAGGGATGATGATCGAGGGAGTCATCCCCTAGGACTCGTGCCACATCAAATTAGAGGTTTCCTTTCAACATTTGAGAATCTATGTGTAGTGGGCAGGAGCTACAAGTGCTGTAGTGCTTGCTCGGAAAAAATCGTTGACACGTACAAGGAGAAAGGCTGGGATTTTGTGCACAAAGCTTTGAATGAGACTGGATACGTGGAAGACCTAAGCGGCCTTAAGGAGGTTGGTCCCCCATTCTCGTTTCTTGCTTGTTCTCTTTGCCCTCTATTTTAAGACAAATGCTGAGGCTCTGCAAGGTTCAAACAATCGCTGAAGCTACAGCTGCAGACATTGAGTGGGATGAGGTCTCTGAAACTGGCGATGAGTTAGAGGCCATGGGAACTGACAGTTGATGTTACGCACTCTTTCGAGGCGAGTCCTTTGAGCCGGTAGGCTTCCGCAGAAATCATTATTGTCAAGGAGACGCGAGCACTTCATGCCTCATTGCATGTTGTTTGCGTGCAAGACCAATGAAATAGGCTTCCTTAGATTCCTAGCAACCAGGTTAGTGACGCTAGACTTGACTGTTTAGGATCATTCGCCAGTGTCTGATACATTACGTGAAGACTCTGGTTTAAGTCTATGTACTTTCTGGAACAGCCGCTTGAGCTGCTTCTCCAAATCTTTGTCTTCGGCTCCCTGGTAGAACTTGCAAACAAAGTGGCCACCTGCCTTCAAGACCTCGAAACTAAACTGTAGCGCAGCTCGGCAGAGGTCCTTCCTTAGGTTAACTGCGTATCAGACAGATCGGGTGCAACTCAGAATTAAAGGCTCACCATGCTTCCCGCATGATCTCTGAAACTCATGCCACTAGTATTCATCATCCTGTTGTACGAATCACTTAGACTTCTCTTCCAGAATCCAGAGGTTTGATACCAGGGGACAGACATATCACTTAGAACCACGTCCACGGTTCTTTTACCAGTCAGGCAATGATCTTCCATCTCTTCGTTGTGGACGGGGTTTTTCCTATCCCCATCCAATTCAGACGCCTCATGGCTCAGGCCAATATGTGGGTTTATGCCTGGGCGGTGCCGCTGGTCCCTTGTTGGATCATGCAATAAATCCTGGACATAGGCCTGGATGCTAGGATCCAAAAAGTTTCCTTGAATCGTAGATACACCCTTTGGTGGCTGAGCAGGAATGATATCAACGCCAAGGACGCGACCATTTGGCCCAGTGCGACTGACTGCCACCTTCAGGAAGTTAGGATAGCTACAGAGCAAGACTCACGGCTAGCCGACGTACCTGAGACCACGAACCCGGCGCATACCCCTATTATCATATTGTTAATAAGGTGAACAAGAAACAGAATTACGTCCGTTTTCTCGAGCCGTGACTGCCATACCAAATCGACAACAGTCTGCCCGTCACAGAAAATGCGATATTTCGCATCTATCTATCCATGTGGGAAGTGTTAGGGTAAAAGTATACACATGCAAGAGAGTTCTATGCTACACCTGAATAAGTTTAAAGGCAGCTCGACTTTTCAGCCCTTGGACTGTTGCCTCTCTTGTAAAATGATCTTTAAGTTGACGTGTTTGCCACCTCTTCGAGGAGGAAGGTCGCTTTGGGATGAAAGGAGAAATAGCAAGGGCACGTTGCGACCGTGAAGGGACTTTTAGGGGTAACATTGCTGCCGGAAGGGCGTATCGTCGAAGTTCAAGGTTGGCTGTAATATGAATTGGTTATCTCGTGCATAGAAATATAAAAGCTTAGTTAAAAATATGTTTGAAGTGGTAATCGGAAAGCGTCGGCGGCCGGCTTATAACTTGAAATTAAATGTATCTTAACAAGCAACAAAAAACCATGAAATCTTGTATCACGCATCTTGGTTCTTCTTCACCTCGCCTTTCTCTCTTCTCGCTAACACAGTAGCCTACGAGGTCCAAGAAGGTGAAACAATGAAATTAATTAAATTCACTCTAGTATGTGACAGTGACGCTGCTCTAAAGTCGTTTCTTGTCTCGCTTCAAAGGAGAAAATTCACCTAGTCCGCCCAACCCGCGACTGCGTCCAAGGCGGCTGCCACTTGGAGCAGATGCTTGGGAAGCAAAATTTCGCCCTGTACCTCCTGAGACCAGCTTCCGACCTGGCCGTCTGATGTCGTGGGTATCTTCGTCGTCGTCTTCGTCGAACAACCCCAAGTCGCGTTGGGTCCCCAGTTTACGTTTCCTTGATTTGAATTGCCCATGGTTAGAAGTGCGGGTAAATATACCGCTGGCATTTTCCATTCGTCCCTCGGGATCCGAATTGTCTAACAGTTTTCTCTGAAATTGCCCCCCTTTTCTGCCATTGGAAGTGCCATGACCCAGACGTAGTGTGTCCACGGTCACAGGTAGCTCATCAACCGACGGCCTCTGACCCTGATACCCAGAATTAACACATTTTTGAACATCATTCTCAGAGGCCTTTTGATTTGTTTTACTGGTCATATGAGTTGTGTGGAGCTCATCTGCATCGTCCCCAGAGCTCGTAGCTGAATTTTGAAGCCCATTTGTTCGGTTTAGAAACGGAGTGATCGAAAAGGACGACTTCTCGCCGGGTAATGTTGATGTTTTACTTCTCTTGTCCTGGGCACGAATAGCTCCAGGGGTTGCGATTGTTAGACCAGAGTTGTGTTGTGTAATGGACTGCGCACTGGAGAATTTAGATTCGTGATTGTTAGAGATGTCATACTGTCGTTTAAGTTCTGTAGCAGCAGCCTGATATTGGTCCTTCGTTGAATGTAGCTTCTTATTCAAGGCATCAAGCTTGGCATCGAGGGCCGCTCGTTGGGCAGCCCATTCCATACTTTGGTGTTGAAAGACACGCTCACGTCCATCTCGCGCCCGTGCCTCCTCCATGAGTTCACTGCGCGCTCCTTCAAGGCTTAAACTAAGCGCTGCGACTTGTTCTGCATTATGCGACTCCCTGGCTACTGCCTGTTCATGGGCCTTTTTTTCATTCTCGAGTTGTACCTCAAGGGTTGTCACCTGTTGTTCGAGATTTCGCTTCTCGGCAAGGAGCGTATGTTGGGAAGTCTTCTGGGACTTTAGCCTTTCAACGTCCGCCCCTGCACTTGAGAGTACCCTTGAGAGATGGTGTTTTTCTGCAAGGAGCTTTTTCACATCGACAGAAGAATTGGTCAGGGAGCCAAGCTCAAGCTACGTTAGATTTTCAGTATGAGCCGTGTCACATTACATACTCATGAATAACATACACGAAGTGTCTCTATTTCATGAGACGACGTATGGTGCGCACTTCGTAGCTGATCAAGCTCCTTGTAAGTCGCTTGAAGCTGAAGACGGACTTCAGATTCCTTCCTTGCAGTTTTGGTCAATTCCTGATTGACATGATTCAACTGCCACCGCAAATTCTCGTTTTCAAATCGAAGGAGCAATTGTTCCACGCGTAGTAGCCGGTTTTTCTCAGCATCTAGAAGCTGTGCTGTGTGCACCAGGGTGTTGTCATATGCTTTTTCCAGGCTCTGTGTTCTTATTGCCAGTCGACACTATAAGATAAGGTAAGCTTGTAAAACGCCACGGGACCAAGATGACAAACACACATCTTCTACCGTGCTCCCTGGATCTTTGCTACTAAATTCCATAACAATGAAATATAACTATAATCGCAAATGATGATATGTAAGATACAAAGACTGCTGGGTGCGGTACAAGTTTATCTTTGATAAATGAGAAATTAAACACTAGAGGCCAGGCCGTACCTTTCCGTCCGCTCGCATGGATGACGACCCAGGAAAAACTAGTGCCGGTCATTCCGCAGTACTGGACACCTAATACGTCCTACTACAAGCTATGACCGCTCCATACTACTAATGCAACCTGACCACTGTCTCCAAGTACATGGATCGTTCCATTGTATATCACCCATTGATTTGTTGACAATTGTTCCTTGCAGACACCACATTCCTGCTGTAGTGTTATATTTCTGACATGTCAACATGAAATTGTTTACTCTCATCATCGCACTCTTCTATATTGTATCTAGCGCTTGCGCGAGCCCGGAGTCTAGCAAGTTCGAAAGATATCAGTCTCTCTCTCGCTCCATTCCCATTGATTTGGATGACTCGTCGTATGAAGACTTGACATCGAAACCCCGAGATTATCATGTTGCGGTACTTTTAACGGCTGGTGAAGCTCGCTATGGGTGCATCTTATGTCGCGAGTTCCAGCCAGAATGGGAGCTCATCTCGCGAAGTTGGAACAAGGGTCCCAAACCCGATGGCCTCAAAATGCTTTTTACCACCCTTGACTTCAGTAATGGCAAAGCAACTTTCCAAAAGGTGGGTTCGGATTGACCATTTACAGTATTGTTGGCTAATACTAGAGGGACAGCTGATGCTCCAAACTGCACCAGTTCTTCTTTTGTTTCCTCCAACTGTTGGACCCTTCGCTAAAGTTGATGATGCTCCCGTTAGATTCGACTTCAGTGGGTAGGTGTTCACTGAAACTCTTTTGTTGAGGTACTGCTGTGCTAAATGATTACCTTCAGTCCAATCTCTGCTGACCAGCTTTACGTGTGGATCAATCGTCATCTTCCAGAGGGACCGAAGCCACCCCTTGTTCGCCCCATTAACTACATACGACTCATTTCTGCAGTGACAATCTTAATGGGTGTTTTAACCTTGTTCACTGTTCTATCACCATATGTTTTGCCAATTATACAGAATCGAAACTTATGGGCCGCATTCAGCTTGATTTCCATACTATTATTCACAAGCGGCCACATGTTCAACCATATCCGCAAAGTGCCATATGTTGTTGGTGACGGCAAAGGTGGCATTAGCTACTTTGCGGGTGGATTCTCAAATCAGTTTGGAATGGAGACACAAATTATTGCTGCCATCTGTAAGTGTCGGCACCTGACAGCCAACGAAACGTGAAATTTCTATGTTCCTGCTGCTTATACATTATTGTGCAAGATGCCATCCTTTCCTTTGCGACAATAGCTCTCGCGATGAAAGTTCCCCGTATCGCGGATACTAAAGCGCAGCAAGTGGCTGTGCTAATCTGGGGAACTGTATTATTTGGTATGTACAGCTTTCTTCTGAGTGTCTTCAGGGCAAAAAATGGCGGGTACCCTTTCTTCCTGCCTCCGTTCTAGTTCAAGCCACAGTCGCAATGCTAGTCGTCTCTTCCACCATAGTTTATCCAATGATTGCATTGAAAGAAAGAGATTGTGGCCTCGGCGATTACTTGAGCCAACAATACCTGATTACGACCTCTGGAGCTAGGAATTGAATTATAAGAAAAACTACGTTTCGGCTTTCTCGATGGCAACGAAGTGTAATAGTGTTACATCCTGGCTATGTACCCCTGAACGCACATGTGCATAATTATAGCTAGCTGGAATAAGGTTAGCCGGTGCTGTTTAATATGTAGAAGTATTCTATGTAGCGGCTGCTTTTATCAAATCTATCTTTGTCAATGCTTCTTAGAAGACGAAATATCTGAAGGTTTTGATCTCATCCAAGCCGCGCGGACCTGCAGGAAAAATTAGCTCCGGCCCGGGGTCTCTTGGCGTATTGCAGTAGGTAGTCTTTCTCCATGAGGTAAACATAGCTTCAATTCAGAAAACTTAAAAATACGTTGAGCTACATGCCATCATGTCCCAGCCGGGCGAAAATGTTGACAGGATTCTGGCCTCTTCGGCATCTGGTGTGACGCTCTTGATCATTGTTCAAATAGCCTCTAGGCTATTCACGTTCATCGCAAATCAATTGATCCTACGAACTCTTTCCCCGGCAATCCTTGGAATTGGTACTCAACTGGAGTTATACTTCATCTCGATACTATACTTTTCCAGGGAAAGCATCAGAACAGCGATTCAGCGACAACCTTTCCATGGGGCATCTGCTAGTGCTATCCACGATGGGAGCTACGATCAGATAAATGGCAAACTTAGTCGAAACGCTCAACTACAGACAATATCTTCGCAATCAGTAGTAAACATGTCTTATCTGAGTATCAGCATGGGAGTCCCATCAGCTTTGATATTCGCGACATTGTACACACAGTTTGCTTCCAGAGAAGTTTCTGAAACACCTTTCTATCTAGTCGGTGTTGCGATCACCACAGTTGCATCCCTTATGGAGCTTTGCGTTGAGCCTTTCTTTGCTGTGGTGCAGCAGTATACATTGTACAAGAAGCGCGCAATAGTGGAGACAGCTGCAGCATTTATGAAGAGCCTAACCGTGTGTGGTTTATTTTCATGGTCTTCTTGGAAAGACCAAGACTTGGGCGTCCTTCCATTCGCTCTGGGTTACCTTTGTTACTCTTTGTCACTTATTTGTGGGTATTATCTAACCATACCAAAGTTAACAAGTCGATGGCAGTTCTCGCTGCTCCTTACCAAAATTAGATTGAGGTACGTCACCAGTTAAGTGGAAAGGGCAATGTTTCGATCATGGTAACACCTTCTAGTGATAATTCAGTCTACCTGGCAGATAGGTTCCCAAGGCACCTAGTTACACTTTCCACAAATGTCTTTTTCCAGTCCATCGTAAAACACCTCCTGACTCAAGGCGACGCAATGATGCTGGCAGCAATGACGAGCTTAAAAGACCAAGGTATATACTCTTTGGCATCAAACTATGGCGGCCTGGCAGCGCGCGTTCTATTCCAGCCTATCGAAGAAAACAGCCGAGCTGTCTTCTCATCTCTGCTCAACTCTGGGAAACAATATACAAACAATGTCAGCGCAGCCAAGGCACATCTAATCGAGATCTTACGAGCATATGAAATGCTAGCTGTTTTCATATTCCCTTTGGGGCCGTATCTGGTTCCACGAATACTATCTCTTCTGGGCGGACACAGGTGGGCTTCTCCGGAAGTTGGTAGTTTACTCTCACTCTATTGCTATTACATACCATTCTTGGCATTCAACGGTATAACCGAGGCATTCGTTTCGTCTGCAGCTAGTGCTTCTGACCTTCGAAGACAAGCCTACTGGATGGGGTTGTTTTCAGTAAGCTTTGCTTTAGCAGCTTACCTATTTTTGAAAATCGGTGGTTTGGGTGCCCATGGACTGGTCTGGGCTAACATTTTCAACATGGCAGTCCGTACGGCCTGGAGTTTTATGTTCCTCCGGTCCTACTTTTGTCTACATGGCAGTAACCTAGCCCTGTCTGAATTCTGTCTACGACCCCAAACATGGATTGCTGCGGCTCTGTCATCGGTGATCCTGGCCAGACAAGGACACGACGGTACTGACTATCGTAGTTCTGTGAAGGCATTAATGCTTTGTACTGGTTATAGCCTCCTGATGTAAGTTGAATTATATCATGCACCATGACTAAGCTCTAACTAGTCTAGAATATTCCTCGAAAGAAAGTACCTTACAACAAAATGCACATATATTTGCCGAATGATCAAGTCTAGGAGTGCTAGAATGAAGACGGACTGATGTGCAAAACTAATCGTCGAACACAATTTTTGTGGCTGTCTTGTCGGTGTCGACATTCTTGAAGAAAGCACCATATGCATCATGTTGCTTCTTCTTGACAGTTGTTCCAAATTTAAGGAGGTCTTCTGGTATATCCTGTTTTGCTGCTCTGAGGACGTTGATCAATCTGCGGCTCATTAATGAACGGCCCTCACTCAAATAACTCTGCTGGCACAATGAAAAGGTTAGAGAACAGGGCTCACTTACGCGCCAGACTGAGCTTTATCTGTCTCGGTAAATAGGGTCACAGCATGTCCCTCGGCTCCAGCACGACCAGTCCTGGACGAAAAAAAGATGTCAGACACTCCCACAGATTCCAAGGCGTATTACTTACCGCCCAATTCGATGTACATAATCTTCAACCGTAAGAGGGAATGTGACATTAATGACCTGCTTGACCGAAGGTATGTCGAGTCCACGAGCTGCAACGTCAGTAGCAACGAGGACAGTAGCAGCTCCTGTTTTGAAGGCGTCTAGGCTTCGAAACCTCTCCTGTTGACTCAGGTCCCCATGTATTCCTGCGACTCTAAATCCTTTTGTACGAAGTAGTCTCTCAATCCGCACGGCTTCCTTCTTATACAAACAGAAGGCTAGCACTTTTTCCGGCTCGGGAACCCCTCGCTGGGATCGATTTAGTAATTGGACAAGTCGAGACTCTTTTTCATGTGGCTTGACAACCTCCACAACTTGCTTGATCCTGGTGTTCGCTCGTGGGTCCGCAGATGGGTCACCTCCAATAGTGACAGTCACAGGAGAGGACATAAAAGTTGACGCGAGGTCCCTGACACTTGGAGGCCAAGTTGCAGTGAACATGACGGTCTGGCGCTTAGATACCGGCATTGGACGAATGATGTCTTTGATATCTTGTTCAAAGCCCTTGTCAAGCATACGATCCGCCTCATCCAGAACCAGGTACTTCACTTTTCCTAGGTCTACCGAACCGTCATTTTGAAGATCCTTCAACCTACCAGGGGTCGCAACAACAACCTCTGCTGTTTTCAGAGCCTCCCGTTGTTCATCTTTTTTCACGCCGCCGAATACACAAGCCACTCTGACGCCGACAGATCCTGAGAACTTTAGCAGTTGGTCGTATATTTGCATCGCTAGCTCCCTTGTTGGAGATATTATTACTGCCATAGGGCGATAAGGCTTTTGTTTGCTCGTTGCTGAGTCCTGTATCTTCTTTAGGCATGGCAACCCAAATGCAAGTGTCTTTCCACTCCCAGTTTCTGCGATGCCAATAACATCACGACCAGCGAACAACAACGGCCAGGTAGCAGACTGAATCGAAGTTGGTGATTTGAATGATCTTAATGGCGCATACAGGTCATCTTTGCAAGGAGGGAGGTGAGAAAATGAGATGATTGGGCGCAATACGTTCTCGGATGATGTATCTGTTATCTTAATAGAGTTTTCCGTCAGGAATTTCTCAATTTCGGATTGAGGGACATCACCCAATGCAGGAGACTGGACGTAAGAGGGGCTCTGCTCAGCACTTGATTTAGACTTCGCAGACTTTTCCTTCTTTTGCTTTTCGCTCTTCAGCTTTTTCTTCGGCCTATACTCATCGCCTCCATTGTGAAGATCACGTTTAGTCATTGTAATCCTCTTTCCAGTTTAGATAGAGGTAAGAACAGGTGAGGGTGAGAAGAGAACGAAGGAGGTAATTGGTTTTGGAACAAATTGAGTTTAGAGTGCCTGAAATGACTTTGCCTTTATATGACAATGGGACAGGTTCTACGACATCTCTCTTCCCTTTTTTTTTTTTTTTTTCAATCTTCCGCGATTTTGCCGTGTGTCACCGCCAAAAGTAGAAAATTTTGGATTGATTAACACTCGAGGCATTGCACCAAGAAGTCAGATCCTGTGTCACGTGATTTTAACCAATAACATCCTGTGATTGCGAATAACAACTTACAGAGGACTCGTAGTACGGAGTACAGTCCCTGACACGGGATTTTCGAAGTGGGCCAGTGGTCTACAACCTAGTACTACACAGTACTCCAGTAGATGCTGTAAATATTGTTTTGCACTTTCCTTCCGTCTTTCAAGTTAGCTGTTTATTGGTTGGCAGAACTTTATGGTGTGGAAGGCCAATGAGGGACAATTTCTCAGCGGAATAAAAATAAAAAACTTGATACAATTGGATACTAGAGGGCCCCACTTAAAAAATCTTGTGGTCAGAGGCTGTGTATCATTGGTGGTTGGTCACGGGATGTGCTATTTAACTTTTGGTCCCCATATCAAACTTGGCAAACTTTGGCTGTGGAAATGTCTAAGCAAGGAAAGCAGGTGTTTTGCAGTCTGTTTTCATGTAAATAATATATGTTCTTCAGAGTAGCTCTTTTTAACTACTCTATGATTATCATGCTTTCTGGTGTATGAGGGCAGTAATATAGGAAAAAGCCAAGCATGACAAGGAAACATAATAAAATATTTTATCTACTATATATATATCGAAAGTTGTGTTGAATCCGCTCCGGTCGTTGTTGTTCTGCTTTCTGATTGTTTGTGTGCCTCACCGCTTGTATACTATGTATGTAAGGGTATATATCTAGCTAAAGTACTAGGCAAGTAGGTTAATGTATTGTATGTTTTTCGCCTGTGTGCTTGTCAACTCCTCATTCATCATAGACATGTTTTAAATAGCCTTATAGGTCCACCTATCCCATGCAATGATAGTAGAACAAAGGTTACCCCTAATTGCTTACCATAAGCCCGCAATGATGTTGACACAAGTCCTTCAGTCAACTGTACAAATCACCTTGCCCTTGGTACAGTTGCTCTCTAGCAATATATGGGCATCTGCAACATGCTCGAAAGGTAAAACCTTCTCTATGAAGACAGTAAAAGTACCATCCCGGAACTTTGGCAGTGCATGCTTGACCAGCAAATCACGCAATTTCTTCTGGTATCCCTCGCCCCGGCTTCTGAGGGTGCTACCTTCCAACCTAACCCTCTTCCTCAGGAGGCTGCTGATGTCAACACCTGCAGGGAGGATTGAACCACTCATTTGTCCCAACTGAACTATACGCGCATCCCGAGCTGCAGCATTTAAGTTACCCTGGAAGTGCGTTGCACCTACAAAATCGATGATTAGGTCAACACCGCGATTATCCGTCGCTTCTCAAAGTTCAGATGCCCAATCCTGGGTTTTATAGTTGTATCCGGCAGTGACACCCAGCTTATCAAGACAAAAGTCGATCTTCTCCTGGGAACCTACAGTCACGAACACGGCAGATGCGCCATCACTTTTAGCGAGCTGAATACCAGCTATGGAGACAGATGAAGCGCCTGCATGCCAGAGAACCGAATCTCCTGGCTTAAATCCACCTATCAAGTATAGGGCTTGGGTGGCTGTTATCCAAGTCTACAGCCAGCAAGCTCCCATCAGTGACCAGTCATGGCCATCGTAATCCGGATAACCTTACCTCAGGAATTCCAGCTGCCTCCTCCCACGATAATTCCACGGGCTTGTGTATTAACATATGCGTTGAGACGGCAATGTATTCTGCATAGGCGCCTGCGACTACTTAGCCAGTGATCCAACAGTAAAAGGTCCTTACCCAGCATATTGTAACGTACCACCGTAAGCTAGGCCAAACACTTCATCTCCAAGCTTGAAGCCAATCTCAGGGTTTCGGCCGAGCTTCTCAATCGTCCCAGCGAACTCAACACCCATCGTACTAGGCGCTTGGGGGGGCACAGGGTATTTACCCTCACGCTGTAATATATCCATCCTGTTCAGCCCGAAAGCCTTGATTTTTATTAATGCTTGGGTCTCCCCGGGTTCAGGAACCGGTATTTCATTAATAAATAAGGCATCGGCACTCCCTCTCCCGCCTTTCACATCTTGAAAAGTGTTAACATGGTAGGTGCTAGTGCAAATATGAAACTACCAACCGATTGCTCTCATCATTCTGTCTGTCATGTTTTGCGCTCGGTCCCTTGTTCGCGGCGTGTCCTTTTCAGCTCGCCTCTTTTATGAACAGCTGTGTGTGGTACAAAGTAGCCTTCCTCTCAGCTAGTTAGCTAGTTAACTAGTTAGTTATTGGTGCCCTTGAATCTGTCATCTGAACTTCATGATTAGTAAGTTTGTTCGGGTAGTTAACTAACTAGTTATCTTACTTTTATGGAGAGGGCCATCAAGAAGTTTGCACCGAGTTCACGTATTAACCTAATAGAATCCAATAACAAAATCCCAGGTATTTGTGATATTATTGTAATGAGGTCATCGTATCTCTGGACTTGATCACGCCATTCGACCATGTCGAAGCTGCGCATCTTCGGATTACAGGCCAGATCCATACGGATATGACACAGCAGACTCCGTCATGTTCCGGTAGATGACTTTCTGAGTTCTAATGTACAAGTAGACTACCTGAGTCTGACCAGTGAATCCACCGGCCAATATACATACAATTACATAGATGAAGCGGTATGTCAACAAATGCTCTACCCCTCTATAAATTGTGCAATATCTGCATTATTTATCCGTGGAATTTTGAAGTTACAGTATGGTCCAAACTATTTCATCCGAATTATCTGGCTGCAAAGACAATCTTGCGGGCGCACAAATTCATGTAGATAGAACAGGATATAGTTGCCACGTAGCTCGACAAGCTGTAGGTGAATCAACATGCGACATACCAGAGAAGTTGACATTATGCAACGTAAAGAGCAGCATTTGTTATGTATCGAGCTCCGGAGTGAAGCACGTGGAATTTTGATCACGCCTCCTGGAAGCAAAAGGTATAGAACTTCCCAGGCACAGTCTGGTTGCGAGTAATCAATGATAAATATACCTGGGTTACTACCACCAGTCACAAAGTACTATACCAAGCAATTCATGTATCAGGAAACACTATATGAATCGATCATGTTTGCAAGACGCAGTGCTTCCTCAGAATAGTTAACCGGTTTCGCCGTTACTATCTGATAACGAATTCTAATGGTTTTCATGAATTAGTGTTGCTCTCAAGCGTCCCAAGAAACCTATGGCCTTACCGTTGTTGATCACCAAAATTGTCAATCTTGGCCCGACATCTGAAATTCCAAGTTCGGCAATTCGCATCCTGAAAAATATCTCCAGCTGCTTTTTCATCGTTCTGGCGTATCTCCATGAGCTGGTCTGCGGAAGTACCCATCATGGATCTGCCCACTTCATCGAAGCAGCTGAGATAAAGTTGTCCAGTATGATCGCTAACGCTGATGAGCATTATATAGCGATACTCTGGTCGTGGATGGGTTATATCGCAACGTTCACACCGCCATTGGCCAGGATCAAGCTCTGTTACTTTTTTATTGCAACGCTCAGAAAGACAGGCAGGATAGCACATGGTATCTTGCTTGATGTAGATGACAGTCGCCTTCAGTGAGAAATAGGCGACCTCATCTGACATACCCAGTTGCTCCTCTTTGATCTGCGCGATAGTTTTGTATTGTTCAGGTTTTGTAGTAGATGCGGCTACACCAGGCATTAAAGCATGCGAGGTAAAGGCTTCATCCCGGCCTTGAGCATCATACCAACCCTTTAATTTATGGGCTTCCTCAATATCAGGATCAACCGTCATTGAACCTGAGCTCAGCAAGCTTAAACTTCTACCTCCGAAGTCAGACACTTTCACACCCTTGAAAGCTATTACAGACTCGGGGGTCACGTTGAAATTTAACGCAGTTGATCCCCAGACAGTGAGGCGAACAGAGAATCCCGTGCTGTCCACTATTGTAAGCTCACGTTTGTTATAAGGCTTGTTAGTGGTCTTTGACATAATTTGAGAAACTTCAGCAACCTCTTTTAGAACCCCAATCACGTCAATGGTGGTATCCTTCTCGACCGACTGCAGGTCACCGATGGTTGTAAAGCTGAATCTAATTTGTGGAACGTCTGCTTGATCCTCTGCCTAAAGCGAAATGAGACCAGGGAACGTTGGGCGAAGTGATGGCACTGACCTTTTCAACAACCGTGTCTCTTTCAAACGTGAGTTCATAGTCATTGTTCAAATTGGTAAACTGTTTCTTGGCAATTTTAACGCCGCATGGACTAGAGATGTAATAAACGCTTCCCTCCTGGAAGATGTCGTAGAGCACATCACATTGATCATTAAACCCAGTCGCACGGATCTCGCCACTATCGTCCAGTAAATTGACGCTGAAGAGCTTACCATCTCCATTCCTGTTATGCCAGGTCCTAATATTTGATTTGCTCGTGCACCGTGCCTTTATAGTCCATTTGTGAGAATAAGGCGAAATAGCTTCGATGGGGTAAATGGTGGCATGTGCTGAAGCCGCTGCGGGCCGTGGCTGTGCTGGTTTGTTAGGCGCTTGTAGTTGTCCACCTTGGATTTTGGAGCCATAGAATCCATTGCTCGATATCGTAGTAGGCTGGGACTTCTCATTCTCTTCTGGTTTACTCTCAAGTGGCTTGGGCTCTCCAATTTTCTCGGCCTCGCCTAAGTCCTGCAAGACCTCCAGATCCAAAATTATCAGGATCCTATCCATGTCAGTCAGAGCGTGTGCAACAACTTAGCTCGTGGCCTCACTTTTTCCCCTTCACCGAATTCGACTGAAAAGATTTGAGCCTAACGAAGCACCCTTTCCGGAGTTGTCCACTGGTAACAAATCGATTGGCTTCTGCTACTCAATATAATCATTAGCAGCATATCCAGCTGCAGCGGGGAATGACATTCAGCCATTAACAGAACTTACGAGTTGCCAGCATTGTCTGGACATAATTGGATATATCACTAAAAACGGCTCTGTAGCGCTCTTGGTTGTTCTGCTGAGGCGGCAATGGTTTGATCTGGACACACTGGACGATGGGCTCGCGTATTTGAGGCTTCGTCTCATCGAAGATTGCACTTGAAGCGAGTTAATCAATAAGAAAAAGTAAACGACCACATAATATAGATGTACCTTAAAGCGCCAACGGATATCTGCGATGCTGCGTCGGAGGCCATGACAGCAGCTATGTAATCAGGAACTCAGGTCTTGCATTTTGCCAATGGTTAATTTATGTTATTTTGTTAGGAAAGAGAAAAAGAAGTCCACATACAAGCAATGATAGGATTTCGAGATCCGTTTTGATCTGAGTAGCTCCTAGGTGTGCAAAGTGCAGTGATGGGAAGGTATGAATGATCATGTAGATCGGACACGTCGAGGATACGCGGTTAAGGACGCGTTGAGTGATTTATTTATTGCCCCACTTTCGTGTTATTCCCCTCCCATGCCTGAGGCAACAGGAAGTTTACTAGAATGAACGATGTACCAGTCCGGAATAGCATGATAACATTCCATGTCCTAGTGGCAAACTACATTTTCTTTTTTTCTCCCATTTTTGTTGTTATCGATGTTGCTATCTGCTAGTATCAATAAATATTGAGGTTGAGCGTAGCTTTAAAAAGGTCAGTATATTCGTCATCAAATGTTCTTTGAGTAACTAACTTGCACTCTTAACTAGCAAGGATTAGAACAATAAGTTAGTGTTTTGTTGGTATAGGCGGTGCCCCGCGGTATTACACCGAAGTTTCCACTTTCATGGTAAGCTTGTGCTCCACTACAACATACCATGGATGGCCTTCAGTAACCTTTCCAATACAACAGACCCTTAACTGCGAATCGCGAAGATAGTTCCAATCAAGTCCAACTTCTTATCAGAGTCTTGCCACTTGAATCTAGCCACTCCTCTTATATCGGGACAGCACTCTCTTCTCTATTATTATCCCTACAACATGACTTCTTGCATGCATGTAAATTCTCACGGTTGGTTGACTGCTAACAACAATGCTCATGGTGATAGTCTTATTAATATCTCTCATGTGGCAGATCTAAAGCCCCCATCTCCCTCACAAGCTGTATACCGAGAAGACTGCACACAGTGTTTCGATTCCATTGTACGCTATCTATCCCTTTGGCTCCGGAGTACTGTATCTAATCAATATTTAGGATGATGAAGCTGGTCTAAATGTTTGCCTCACTTGCTTTAACGGCGCTGCGCCGGGGACAGAGATCATGCGTCTCTTCATTTCAAACGCCTTGGGCACCCCTTGGCATTGAACATCAGACGAACTCGAAAGAAGGTTCAGGTGAGCTGGAACATTCGTCTATCTCATTATATATTACAGAGCTTTTAACTGCCAGGTTTAGCGTGATGAGCCCCCACACAAAATCTCAAAACTTGCAATAGCTGCCGAGACAGATGAAGACCGCTATGACACAACCACGCGCGTATTTGCTATTCATGCGGTAAAGACGATATTGATGAGACGAGCGGTGCACTAGCGATAGCCATTGGTGGCGTCCTGAATGCGATGTCATTCTCAAAACGAGAGGAGGTAAAGGCCTGGGAGCAGGAGTTCATTCCATGTGAACACACCCTGTGTCTGAATCAGCAGGATTCCAGACATATCGGGTCGAAAGGTAATGCCCAGAGACCCAGCTTATTCGGCGCTATTCTTACCTGAGTGTCCAGATTTGAGTCAGTGTTCTATGTGTGATCTGAAAGAGAACCTTTGGCTTTGCTTGGAATGTGGCAATCTTGGCTGCGGGCGTAGTCAATTTGGTGGCATAGGTGGAAATTCCCACGCCCTTGCACACGCTGGCCTAACATCCCATGGAATCGCCGTCAAACTTGGCTCGATTACGGCAGATGGCTCTGCTGACATCTACTGCTACAAGTGCAATGAAGAGAGGACTGACCCCGATCTAGCTGCTCACCTTGCCCATTGGGGGATTAACCTAGCAAGGCGTGAGAAAACAGAGAAAAGTTTGATGGAGATGCAGGTTGAACACAACCTAAAATGGGAATTCTCAATGACATCTGAGGATGGTCATGAGCTTAGCCCCATATTTGGGCCAGGGTTTACTGGTTTAGCCAATCTAGGGAATAGCTGCTATCTATCGAGCGTCATTCAATGCCTTTTCGACTTGCCAGAATTTCAACAAAGATACCACCATAAGAACGAAGAACCGCCGCTCACAGACTCTCCCGCGGAGGACCTTGAAACGCAACTGCGCAAACTCGCGGATGGTATCCTTTCGGGCCGTTACTCGCGAGCTGATATGGATATCATTGTTGCACCCGACTCTCCAGAAGTCCCTCACCAGAAAGGCCTAGTTCCTGCGATGTTTAAGCATCTTGTCGGTCGTGGCCACGAGGAATTCTCGACAATGAAACAGCAGGATGCATTCGAATTCTTACTGCACCTCTTCAAGCTCATTAACTTATCTAGGCATCCAGGCAGCTTAAGCAACCCCACTCATTCTTTTATGTTCGCGATGGAACAACGTCTTCAATGCGTGTGTTGCAAGAAGGTTCGCTATAAGGTAGATGAGCAGGACAACGTCTCCATCCCTGTCCCTGCTCGACGATTAGCACTCTCAGACGACGCAACTACTACCAGTCAATTTGCACCTGTGACCCTTTTTGACTGTCTGGATGCCTCCACATCTGAGGAGATAGTTGATCTTATCTGCCCTTCTTGTGGCAGCAAGGATGGATTTTCCAAGCGCTCTTCGTTCAGAACACTGCCGCAGCAACTTGTCATCAATGCGCGGCGATTTGAGTTGGTCAACTGGGTACCTACGAAATTAGACATCCCAGTGGATGTAAGCGAGGAGCCTTTGGATTTAAGTCCATATCTTTCCTCTGGCCAAAAAGAGGGCGAAGAGCTCCTGCCGGACATGGACACTTCCAAAAGGGACTTTTTGCCTAATCAATATGCCTTGGATCAACTTCTCAGTATGGGGTTCCCGAGGGCTAGGAGTGAAAAGGCACTTTATGCAACTGGAAACTCAGATCCCGAGGCTGCAATGAACTGGTTGTTTGCTCACCTGGAAGATCCCGATATTGATGAACCCTTGACTAGCAGTGAGATCACAGGGGGAGGAAGCAATGCATCACATGACCCAGCGAAAGTAGCACAATTGGTCGAAATGGGTATTGACGAGTCTCGTGCCAAACGAGCATTGGGTGCCACGGACGGGGATATCAGTAGAGCTATCGATTGGGTCTTTAGCCACCCAGAAGAACAGGCAGATGTTGAAGACAATTGTCATGAATCAAATACCCGTTCCGGTGGTTGCCCTGGAACACTCGGTTATAGTGATGCACCAGCTAGGTATGAGCTTCGCTCTATTGTCTGCCATAAGGGCTCTTCAGTCCATGCTGGGTATGTGCGCCTATCTTGATTTGGGGGGTTTTTTCCCGGCTTACTGACCATTAACAGACATTATGTCGCCTTTGTCCGGAAGAATCTACCAGGTCAGAGTGAACTATCTTGGGTGATGTTCAATGATGAGAAGGTTGTGAAGGCTGAGGATATACAGGAGATGAAGAAATACGCATATCTGTACTTCTTCTCGAGGGTCTAAGCATTGTTTTCTGTCTTTATTTTTGCGCCTTGCATGGCGCAGCTCCCAACAGGGATTATTACGTTTGCACCTAGTACTACCTACCAATACAGAAAGTTAGAGAAGTTTCTCACTACGGTATGGACTACTATTGGCAGCAGCTGTTATGTATATCTCGTAGTGCTACAGGTCCTAGGAAGCTATATTTGCTGACAACTTTATAATTAAGATGATTATGTTGATTGACTAACGTTCTTTGCCATGACGTGCTAAGGCTGATAAGTGGCAGGTTGACCGCCTTTGGCAGAAAACATAATGTTAATAAAGTAAACCCCCATTGTATAGTGTACTTAGGTGATTTCTTATAGTATAATATTCTACTAGTATACTTTTACTATCTTTATAACTATCTTAAAATTTTAATTAATATATTTACTGTAGCTGGATGGCAATTAGTTGATTATATTAATTGATTAGTATG